CCACCACTACTACACACACACCACCACCACCACTACTACACAGACACCACCACCACTACTACACACACACCACCACCACTACTACACACACACCACCACCACTACTACACACACACCACCACCACTACTACACACACCACCACCACCACTACACACACACCACCACCACTACTACACACACACCACCACCACTACTACACACACACCACCACCACTACTACACACACCACCACCACCACCACTACTACACACACACACACACACCACCACCACTACTACACACACACACCACCACCACTACTACACACACACCACCACTACTACACACACACCACCACCACTACTACACACACACCACCACCACTACTACACACACACACCACCACTACTACACACACACCACCACCACTACTACACACACACCACCACCACTACTACACACACACCACCACCACTACTACTACACACACCACCACCACTACTACACACACACCACCACCACTACTACACACACACCACCACCACTACTACACACACACCACCACCACTACTACACACACACCACCACCACTACACACACACCACCACCACTACACACACACCACCACTACTACACACACACCACCACCACTACTACACACACACCACCACCACTACTACACACACACCACCACCACTACTACTACACACACACCACCACCACTACTACACACACACCACCACCACCACCACTACTACACACACACCACCACCACTACTACACACACACCACCACCACCACTACTACACACACACCACCACTACTACACACACACACCACCACCACTACTACACACACACCACCACCACTACTACACACACACACCACCACCACTACTACACACACACCACCACCACTACTACACACACACACCACCACCACTACTACACACACACACCACCACCACTACTACACACACACCACCACCACTACTACACACACACCACCACCACTACTACACACACACCACCACCACCACTACTACACACAGCAGTAGCTCTGTCTGGGGTCCTTCTTACACCCGGTAACACGTTAAAAACACGCGTTCAGTTAAATAGTTTAGTTTAGTAAATGAAGCCCCTCAGCACCGGGGAAGACAAAGGCGGCCGGGCGTGGTGGCGGTGGTGGTGGTGGTGGTGGTGGTGCTCACCCACCCCCTCTGCGTGTGTAGCCACAGTGGCCGGTAGCCTTCATAGGCGCTGCTGCTGCTACTAACAGCACTTGCCCCCTACGGCACAGAACGGAAGGCTACCTGGGGGCGCTTTGCCTCCGCAGGAATGGCCCGTCAGAGGAAGCGCTGTCACAAGCCGTCGCTATCTCCCTGGAGCAGACATCTCCTGTTTGTTACCCACGCACTGCCGTGCACACGCGGAGAAAGATCCCCTGCACCCACCCACTCACTCGCACACTCACTCACACACTCACGCACCCACTCATTCACTCATTCACTCACTCACTCGCCCACTCACACACCCACTCGCACACTCACACACTCACTCACACACACACTCACACACTCACACACCCACTCACACACCCACTCGCACACTCATTCACTCACTCACACACTCACACACCCACTCACACACCCACTCACCCACCCACTCACCCACCCACTCACCCACCCACTCACACACTCACTCACTCAGACACTCACACACACACTCACTCGCACACTCACTCGCCCACTCACACACCCACTCACTCGCTTACACACACACACCCACCCACTCGCACACACACCCACTCACACACCCACTCGCACACACACCCACTCACTCGCCCACTCACTCGCCCACTCACACACCCACTCACACACCCACTCACACACCCACTCGCTCACACACCCACTCGCACACCCACTCGCACACCCACTCACACACACGCCCACCCACTCACTCACTCACACACCCACTCACTCACACACCCACTCGCACACACACTCACTCACACACACACTCACTCGCCCACTCACATACCCACCCACTCACACACCCACCCACTCGCACAACCACTCACTCACACACACACACACCCACCCACTCACACACACATCCACTCACACACCCATTCACTCACACACACACCCACCCACCCACTCACACACATACCCACTCACACACCCATTCACTCACACACCCACCCACCCACTCGCACACCCACTCGCACACACATCCACTCACACACACCCACTCACTCACACACTCACACACCCACTCACACACCCACTCACCCACCCACTCACCCACCCACTCACACACTCACTCACTCAGACACTCACACACACACTCACTCGCACACTCACTCGCCCACTCACACACCCACTCACTCGCTTACACACACACACCCACCCACTCGCACACACACCCACTCACACACCCACTCGCACACACACCCACTCACACACCCACTCACTCGCCCACTCACACACCCACTCACACACCCACTCACACACCCACTCACACACCCACTCGCTCACACACCCACTCGCACACCCACTCGCACACCCACTCACTCACCCACCCACTCACACACCCACTAACCAACCCACCCACCCACTCACCCACCCACTCACACACCCACCCACCCACTCACCCACCCACCCACTCACCCACTCACCCACCCACACACCCACCCACTCACCCACCCACCCACCCACACACCGCCACATCGTAGCCACCTGACAGATCTGTTGGGGCAAGTGTCGCCAGCGAGCAACTCCGGTGGAGGCCCGGCACTGTGGCACACACAGAGTGGGGCCTGGGTGGCCAGCACCGCTCCGCCCCCCCTCCCCCCCCCCCCCGGTCACCCCCCGCTCAACCCCCCTCAAACGCCGCACGGGGAAAGTGGAGACGCCCCTCCCAGTCGGGGATCGAACCCAGGCCTCCTTATTGCTGCGAGGAGCCAACGTCACCACACATCCCCCACACACCCCCCCCCCCCACACACCCACCCCCACACACCCCCCACACACACCCCCCAATAATATAGATTAATTATTTAACTTAGATCCTGCTAGAACCCCCCCCTGCCCCCAAAGTCTCTCCGCCAGGATGTCAACTCCGGCCCTGTCACCACTCGGGAATGTCTCCTCCCTTTGCTTGGGAGTGTCCGCCACGGGGTTCACGGTGGCCGTGTGGGAGACGCTGAGACCCTGGGGTCAGGGTTCAAGCCCTGGGTCTGGGTGTCTCTCTCTCTCTCAGGGGGTTCACAGTGGCTGTGTGGGAGACACTGAGACTCCTGGGGTCAGGGTTCAAGCCCTGGGTCTGGGTGTCTCTCTCTCTCAGGGGGTTCACAGTGGCCGTGTGGGAGACGCTGAGACCCTGGGGTCAGGGCTCAAGCCCTGGGTCTGGGTGTCTCTCTCTCTCCGAGACAGACAGCGAGTGAGAGAGTGACAATCAGAGAGACGGAGAGACGATGAATTTTTCCCCGGCGCCTACCTAGTGGGTTCAGGGTTCAAGCCCTGGGTCTGGGTGTCTCTCTCTCTCTCAGGGGGTTCACAGTGGCCGTGTGGGAGATGCTGAGACCCTGGGGTCAGGGTTCAAGCCCTGGGTCTGGGTGTCTCTCTCTCAGGGGGTTCACGGTGGCCGTGTGGGAGACGCTGAGACCCTGGGGTCAGGGTTCAAGCCCTGGGACTGGGTGTCTCTCTCAGGGGGTTCATGATGGCCTTGTGGGAGACGCTGAGACCCTAGGGTCAGGGTTCAAGCCCTGGGTCTGGGTGTCTCTCTCTCTCTCTCAGGGGGTTCACGGTGGCCGTGTGGGAGACGCTGAGACCCTGGGGTCAGGGTTCAAGCCCTGGGACTGGGTGTCTCTCTCTCTCTCAGGAGGTTCACAGTGGCCATGTGGGAGACGCTGAGACCCTGGGGTCAGGGTTTAAGCCCTGGGTCTGGGTGTCTCTCTCTCAGGGGGTTCACGGTGGCCGTGTGGGAGACGCTGAGACCCTGGGGTCAGGGTTCAAGCCCTGGGTCTGGGTGTCTCTCAGGGGGTTCACAGTGGCCGTGTGGGACACGCTGAGACCCTGGGGTCAGGGTTCAAGCCCTGGGTCTGGGTGTCTCTCTCAGGGGGTTCACGGTGGCCGTGTGGGAGACGCTGAGACCCTGGGGTCAGGGTTCAAGCCCTGGGTCTGGGTGTCTCTCTCTCTCTCAGGGGGTTCACAGTGGCCGTGTAGGAGACGCTGAGACCCTGGGGTCAGGGTTCAAGCCCTGGGTCTGGGTGTCTCTCTCTCTCTCAGGGGGTTCACGGTGGCCGTGTGGGAGACGCTGAGACCCTGGGGTCAGGGTTCAAGCCCTGGGTCTGGGTGTCTCTCTCTCTCTCTCTCAGGGGGTTCACAGTGGCCGTGTGGGAGACACTGAGACCCTGGGGTCAGGGTTCAAGCCCTGGGACTGGGTGTCTCTCTCAGGGGGTTCATGATGGCCTTGTGGGAGACGCTGAGACCCTGGGGTCAGGGTTCAAGCCCTGGGTCTGGGTGTCTCTCTCTCTCAGGGGGTTCACGGTGGCCGTGTGGGAGACGCTGAGACCCTGGTGTCAGGGTTCAAGCCCTGGGTCTGGGTGTCTCTCTCTCTCTCAGGGGGTTCACGGTGGCCGTGTGGGAGACGCTGAGACCCTGGGGTCAGGGTTCAAGCCCTGGGTCTGGGTGTCTCTCTCTCAGGGGGTTCACGGTGGCCGTGTGGGAGACGCTGAGACCCTGGGGTCAGGGTTCAAGCCCTGGGTCTGGGTGTCTCTCTCTCTCTCTCAGGGGGTTCACAGTGGCCGTGTGGGAGACGCTGAGACCCTGGGGTCAGGGTTCAAGCCCTGGGTCTGGGTGTCTCTCTCTCTCTCAGGGGGTTCACAGTGGCCGTGTCGGAGACACTGAGACCCTGGGTTTAATTTTTCTGAGCCATCCATTCTCGGAGTCGTCCTCTCGCCTAGCCCCCTGAGTCCGAGTCCGTGCCCGCTCCCCCGTGCCATCGCGTGCGTGCAGGACTTCCGCGAAGACCTGGAGTCCCTGATCGAGGAGCGGACTCGTTCGGGCCAGGACCCCTCGGGCCTCCTGGCCCTGCAGCAAGTCGCAGACTTCATGGTGGGGGGAGTCGCCTTGGGGGGGGCTCACGGATTCCACGCCGGTACGTTGTGGGGTGGAGGGTGTGGGGGACTGAGAGACTCACTCTGAGACTCACTCAGAGACTCACTCACTCAAGAGACTCACTCACTATGAGACTCACTCGGAGTCACTCACTCAGAGACTCACTCAGAGACTCACTCACTCAGAGACTCACTCAGAGACTCACTCACTCAGAGACTCACTCACTCAGAGACTCACTCACTCGGACTCACTCAGAGGCTCACTCAGAGACTCACTCACTCAAGAGACTCACTCACTCGGAGACTCACTCACTCGGACTCACTCAGAGGCTCACTCAGAGACTCACTCACTCAGAGACTCACTCAGAGACTCACTCGGACTCACTCACTCAGAGACTCACTCAGAGACTCACTCGGAGACTCACTCAGAGACTCACTCACTCAGAGACTCACTTAGAGACTCACTTGGACTCACTCTGAGACTCACTCACTCAGAGACTCACTCACTCGGACTCACTCAGAGACTCACTCAGAGACTCACTTGGACTCACTCTTGAGACTCACTCACTCAGAGACTCACTCACTCAGAGACTCACTCAGAGACTCACTCAGAGACTCGCTCGCTCAGAGACTCACTCAGAGACTCACTCGGAGACTCACTCAGAGACTCACTCACTCAGAGACTCACTCAGAGATTCACTCACTCGGACTCACTCAGAGACTCACTCACTCAGAGACTCACTCTGAGACTCACTCACTCAAGAGACTCACTCACTCTGAGACTCACTCACTCGGCGACTCACTCTGAGACTCACTCACTCAGAGACTCACTCAGAGAATCACTCACTCAAGAGACTCACTCAGAGACTCACTCACTCAGACTCACTCAGAGACTCACTCAGAGACTCACTCACTCAAGAGACTCACTCACTCAGAGACTCACTCACTCAGAGACTCACTCTGAGACTCACTCACTCAGAGACTCACTCAGAGACTCACTCAGAGACTCACTCAGAGACTCACTCACTCGGACTCACTCAGAGACTCACTCACTTGGACTCCCTCAGAGACTCACTCAAGAGAGTCACTCACTCAGAGACTCACTCACTCTGAGACTCACTCACTCAGACTCACTCAGAGACTCACTCAGAGACTCACTCACTCAGAGACTCACTCAGAGACTCACTCGGACTCACTCACTCAGAGACTCACTCACTCAAGAGACTCACTCACTCAGAGACTCACTCACTCAGACTCACTCAGAGACTCACTCAGAGACTCACTCACTCAAGAGACTCACTCACTCAGAGACTCACTCACTCTGAGACTCACTCACTCAGACTCACTCAGAGACTCACTCAGAGACTCACTCACTCAGAGACTCACTCAGAGACTCACTCGGACTCACTCACTCAGAGACTCACTCAGAGACTCACTCGGAGACTCACTCAGAGACTCACTCACTCGGACTCACTCTGAGACTCACTCACTCAGAGACTCACTCACTCGGACTCACTCAGAGACTCACTCGGACTCACTCTGAGACTCACTCACTCAGAGACTCACTCACTCAGAGACTCACTCAGAGACTCACTCGCTCAGAGACTCACTCGGAGACTCACTCGGAGACTCAGAGACTCACTCAGAGACTCACTCAGAGACTCACTCAGAGACTCACTCGCTCAGAGACTCACTCGGAGACTCACTCGGAGACTCACTCAGAGACTCACTCACTCGGACTCACTCTGAGACTCACTCGGACTCACTCTGAGACTCACTCGGACTCACTCTGAGACTCACTCGGACTCACTCAGAGACTCACTCTGAGACTCACTCACTCAGAGACTCACTCACTCGGACTCACTCAGAGACTCACTCGGACTCACTCTGAGACTCACTCACTCAGAGACTCACTCACTCAGAGACTCACTCAGAGACTCACTCAGAGACTCACTCGCTCAGAGACTCAATCACTCAGAGACTCACTCACTCCGAGACTCACTCAGAGACTCACTCAGAGACTCACTCACTCAGAGACTCACTCACTCACTCAGAGACTCACTCACTCAGAGACTCACTCACTCAGAGACTCACTCACTCAGAGACTTACTCACTCAGAGACTCACTCACTCAGAGACTCACTCACTCAGAGACTCACTCACTCAGAGACTCACTCACTCAGAGACTCACTCACTCAGAGACTCACTCACTCAGAGACTCACTCACTCAGAGACTTACTCACTCACTCAGAGACTCACTCACTCAGAGACTCACTCACTCGCTCAGAGACTCACTCGCTCGCTCAGAGACTTACTCCAAGACTCACTCGCTGAGTCTCTGAGTGAGCCTCACACACAACCTCGCTCTCACGGGCCCTTAACCGTACTGCTGCTTGCTATCAGCGCTCTCTAACACCCCCACCCCGTGGCCCCACCTCAGGCCCCTCAGGCCCCATCAACGACCTCCCTGTGGGCCTCCTGGCCGGCTACGCCAAGGGCGAGAGGCTGCTTCGCTGTAAGGTGGCGGCCTTCTACCGCCTCGCCGATCTCAATGGCTGGGGAGCATCGGCGCACACGAACCATGTGTCGGTGGGTGTCACAGCGCTAGAGATGGGGGTCACAGTGTTAGAGATGGGGGTCACAGTGCTAGAGATGTGGGTCACAGTGTTAGAGATGGGGGTCACAGTGTTAGAGATGGGGGTCACAGTGTTAGAGATGGGGGTCACAGTGTTAGAGATGGGGGTCACAGTGCTAGAGATGGGGGTCACAGTGCTAGAGATGGGGGTCACAGTGCTAGAGATGGGGGTCACAGTGCTAGAGATGGGGGTCACAGTGCTAGAGATGGGGGTCACAGTGCTAGAGATGTGGGTCACAGCGCTAGAGATGGGGGTCACAGCGCTAGAGATGGGGGTCACAGCGCTAGAGATGGGGGTCACAGTGCTAGAGATGGGGGTCACAGTGCTAGAGATGGGGGTCACAGTGTTAGAGATGGGGGTCACAGTGTTAGAGATGGGGGTCACAGTGCTAGAGATGGGGGTCACAGTGTTAGAGATGGGGGGGGTCACAGTGTTAGAGGTGGGGGTCACAGTGTTAGAGATGGGGGTCACAGTGTTAGAGATGGGGGTCACAGTGCTAGAGATGGGGGTCACAGTGCTAGAGATGGGGGTCACAGTGTTAGAGATGGGGGTCACAGTGCTAGAGATGGGGGTCACAGTGCTAGAGATGGGGGTCACAGTACTAGAGATGGGGGTCACAGTGTTAGAGGTGGGGGTCACAGTGTTAGAGATGGGAGTCACAGTGTTAGAGATGGGGGTCACAGCGCTAGAGATGGGGGTCACAGTGCTAGAGATGGGGGTCACAGTGCTAGAGATGGGGGTCACAGTGTTAGAGATGGGGGTCACAGTGCTAGAGATGGGGGTCACAGTGCTAGAGATGGGGGTCACAGTGCTAGAGATGGGGGTCACAGTGCTAGAGATGAGGGTCACAGTGCTAGAGATGGGGGTCACAGTGTTAGAGATGGGGGTCACAGTGGTAGAGATGGGGGTCACAGTGCTAGAGATGAGGGTCACAGTGTTAGAGATGGGGGTCACAGTGCTAGAGATGGGGGTCACAGTGTTAGAGATGGGGGTCACAGCGCTAGAGATGGGTGTCACAGTGTTAGAGATGGGGGTCACCGTACTAGAGATGGGGGGGTCACAGTGTTAGAGATGGGGGTCACAGCGCTAGAGATGGGGGTCACAGTGTTAGAGATGGGGGTCACAGTGTTAGAGATGGGAGTCACAGTGTTAGAGATGGGGGTCACAGTGCTAGAGATGTGGGTCACAGTGTTAGAGATGGGGGTCACAGTACTAGAGATGGGGGGGTCACAGTGCTAGAGATGGGGGTCACAGTGCTAGAGATGGGGGTCACAGTGCTAGAGATGGGGGGGGTCACAGTGCTAGAGATGGGGGGGGTCACAGTGCTAGAGATGGGGGTCACAGTGCTAGAGATGGGGGTCACAGCGCTAGAGATGGGGGTCAGAGCAGTAGAGATGGGGGTCACAGCGCTAGAGATGGGGGTCACAGTGTTAGAGATGTGGGTCACAGCGCTAGAGATGGGGGTCACAGTGTTAGAGATGGGGGTCACAGTGTTAGAGATGGGGGTCACAGTGTTAGAGATGGGGGTCACAGTGTTAGAGATGGGGGTCACAGTGCTAGAGATGGGGGTCACAGTGCTAGAGATGGGGGTCACAGTGCTAGAGATGGGGGTCACAGCGCTAGAGATGGGGGTCACAGTGTTAGAGATGGGGGTCACAGTGTTAGAGATGGGGGTCACAGTGTTAGAGATGTGGGTCACAGTGTTAGAGATGTGGGTCACAGCGCTAGAGATGGGTGTCACAGTGTTAGAGATGGGGGTCACAGTGCTAGAGATGGGGGTCACAGCGCTAGAGATGGGGGTGTCACAGCGCTAGAGATGGGGGTCACAGTGGTAGAGATGGGGGTCACAGTGTTAGAGATGGGGGTCACAGCGCTAGAGATGGGGGTCACAGTGGTAGAGATGGGGGTCACAGTGCTAGAGATGGGGGTGTCACAGTGCTAGAGATGGGGGTCACAGTGCTAGAGATGGGGGTCACAGCGCTAGAGATGGGGGTCACAGTGTTAGAGATGGGGGTCACAGTGTTAGAGATAGGTGTCACAGTGCTAGAGATGGGGGTCACAGCGCTAGAGATGGGGGTCACAGTGGTAGAGATGGGGGTCACAGTGCTAGAGATGGGGGTGTCACAGTGCTAGAGATGGGGGTCACAGCGCTAGAGATGGGGGTCACAGCGCTAGAGATGTGGGTCACAGTGTTAGAGATGGGGGTCACAGTGCTAGAGATGGGGGTCACAGTATTAGAGATGGGGGTCACAGTGTTAGAGATGGGGGTCACAGTGTTAGAGATGGGGGTCACAGTGCTAGAGATGGGGGTCACGGTGCTAGAGATGGGGGTCACAGTGCTAGAGATGGGGGTCACAGCGTTAGAGATGGGGGTCACAGTGCTAGAGATGGGGGTCACAGCGTTAGAGATGGGGGTCACAGTGCTAGAGATGGGGGTCACAGTGCTAGAGATGGGGGTCTCAGTGCTAGAGATGGGGGTCACAGCGCTAGAGATGGGGGTCACAGCGCTAGAGATGGGGGTCACAGCGCTAGAGATGGGGGTCACAGTGCTAGAGACCTGGGTCATAGTGCTAGAGATGGGGGTCACAGTGTTAGAGATGGGGGTCACAGTGTTAGAGATGGGGGTCACAGTGTTAGAGATGGGTGTCACAGCGCTAGAGATGGGGGTCACAGTGTTAGAGATGGGGGTCACAGTGCTAGAGATGGGGGTCACAGCGCTAGAGATGGGGGTCACAGTGTTAGAGATGGGGGTCACAGTGCTAGAGATGGTGGGGTCACAGTGTTAGAGATGGGGGTCACAGTGTTAGAGATGGGGGTCACAGTGTTAGAGATGGGGGTCACAGTGCTAGAGATGGGGGTCACAGTGCTAGAGATGGGGGTCACAGTGCTAGAGCTGGGGGTCACAGCGTTAGAGATGGGGGTCACAGTGCTAGACATGGGGATCACAGTGTTAGAGATGGGTGTCACAGTGCTAGAGATGGGGGTCACAGCGCTAGAGATGGGGGTCACAGTGGTAGAGATGGGGGTCACAGTGCTAGAGATGGGGGAGTCACAGCGCTAGAGATGGGGGTCACAGTGTTAGAGATGGGGGTCACAGTGCTAGAGATGGGGGTCACAGCGCTAGAGATGGGGGTCACAGTGTTAGAGATGGGGGTCACAGTGCTAGAGAGGGGGGTCACAGTGTTAGAGATGGGGGTCACAGTGTTAGAGATGGGGGTCACAGTGTTAGAGATGGGGGTCACAGTGCTAGAGATGGGGGTCACAGTGCTAGAGATGGGGGTCACAGCGTTAGAGATGGGGGTCACAGTGCTAGAGATGGGGGTCACAGTGTTAGAGATGGGTGTCACAGTGCTAGAGATGGGGGTCACAGCGCTAGAGATGGGGGTCACAGTGGTAGAGATGGGGGTCACAGTGCTAGAGATGGGGGAGTCACAGCGCTAGAGATGGGGGTCACAGTGTTAGAGATGGGGGTCACAGTGCTAGAGATGGGGGTCACAGTGCTAGAGATGGGGGTCACAGTGCTAGAGATGGGGGTCACAGTGCTAGAGATGGGGGTCACAGTGCTAGAGATGGGGGTCACAGTGCTAGAGATGGGTGTCACAGCGCTAGAGATGGGGGTCACAGTGCTAGAGATGGGGGTCACAGTGCTAGAGATGGGGGGGTCACAGTGCTAGAGATGGGGGGGTCACAGTTCTAGAGATGGGGGGGTCACAGTCCTAGAGATGGGGGTCACAGTGCTAGAGATGGGGGGGTCACAGTGCTAGAGATGGGGGTCACAGTGCTAGAGATGGGGGAGTCACAGTCCTAGAGATGGGGGTCACAGTGCTAGAGATGGGGGAGTCACAGTCCTAGAGATGGGGGTCACAGTGCTAGAGATGGGGGGTCACAGTGCTAGAGATGGGGGTCACAGTACTAGAGATGGGGGTCACAGTACTAGAGATGGGGGTCACAGCGCTAGAGATGGGGGTCACAGTGTTAGAGATGGGGGTCACAGTGCTAGAGATGGGGGTCACAGCGTTAGAGATGGGGGTCACAGTGCTAGAGATGGGTGTCACAGTGCTAGAGATGGGGGTCACAGTGCTAGAGATGGGGGTCACAGTGCTAGAGATGGGGGTCACAGTGCTAGAGATGGGGGGGTCACAGTGCTAGAGATGGGGGGGTCACAGTTCTAGAGATGGGGGGGTCACAGTCCTAGAGATGGGGGTCACAGCGCTAGAGATGGGGGGGTCACAGTGCTAGAGATGGGGGTCACAGTGCTAGAGATGGGGGAGTCACAGTCCTAGAGATGGGGGTCACAGTGCTAGAGATGGGGGAGTCACAGTCCTAGAGATGGGGGTCACAGTGCTAGAGATGGGGATCACAGTGCTAGAGATGGGGGGGTCACAGTGCTAGAGATGGGGGTCACAGTACTAGAGATGGGGGTCACAGCGCTAGAGATGGGGGTCACAGTGTTAGAGATGGGGGTCACAGTGCTAGAGATGGGGGTCACAGTGCTAGAGATGGGGGTCACAGTGCTAGAGATGGGGGTCACGGTGCTAGAGATGGGGGGGGGGGGTCACAGTGCTAGAGATGGGGGGTCACAGCGCTAGAGATGGGGGTCACAGTGCTAGAGATGGGGGTCACAGTGCTAGAGATGGGGGTCACAGCTCTAGAGATGGGGGTCACAGTGTTAGAGATGTGGGTCACAGTGTTAGAGATGTGGGTCACAGCGCTAGAGATGGGGGTCACAGCACTAGAGATGGGTGTCACAGCGCTAGAGATGGGGGTCACAGCACTAGAGATGGGTGTCACAGCGCTAGAGATGGGGGTCACAGCACTAGAGATGGGTGTCACAGCGCTAGAGATGGGGGTCACAGCGCTAGAGATGGGTGTCACAGCGCTAGAGATGGGGGTCACAGTACTAGAGATGGGTGTCACAGCGCTAGAGATGGGTGTCACAGCGCTAGAGATGGGGGTCACAGTGCTAGAGATGGGGGTCACGGTGCTAGAGATGGAGCTCACAGTGTTAGAGATGGGGGTCACAGTGCTAGAGATGGGGGTCACAGTGTTAGAGATGGGGGGGTCACAGTGTTAGAGATGGGGGTCACAGTGCTAGAGATGGGGGTCACAGTCCTAGAGATGGGTGTCACAGCGCTAGAGATGTGGGTCACAGCGCTAGAGATGGGGGTCACAGTGCTAGAGATGGGGGGGTCACAGTGCTAGAGATGGGGGTCACAGTGCTAGAGATGGGGGTCACAGCGCTAGAGATGTGGGTCACAGCGCTAGAGATGGGGGTCACAGTGCTAGAGATGGGGGGGTCACAGCGCTAGAGATGGGGGTCACAGTACTAGAGATGGGGGGGTCACAGTGCTAGAGATGGGGGTCACAGTGCTAGAGATGGGGGTCACGGTGCTAGAGATGGAGCTCACAGCGCTAGAGATGGGGGTCACAGTGCTAGAGATGGGGGTCACAGCGCTAGAGATGGGGGTCACAGCGCTAGAGATGGGGGGGTCACAGTGCTAGAGATGGGGGGGGGTCACAGTGCTAGAGATGGGGGGGTCACAGTGCTAGAGATGGGGGGGTCACAGTGCTAGAGATGGGGGGGTCACAGTGCTAGAGATGGGGGGGTCACAGTGCTAGAGATGGGGGGGTCACAGTGCTAGAGATGGGGGTCACAGTGCTAGAGATGGGGGTCACAGGGTGACGTGAACGCCACTCTCTCTCTCTCTCTCTGCAGGCTCGCGTAAACAAGGAGCAGGAGCACTTCCTGGTGAACCCGTACGGACTTCTGTGCAACGAAGTGACAGCATCAAGCCTGGTAACTCGCACTGGGATACAGCGTGTAGAGACTCGGGGTGTAGAGACTCGGGGTGTAGAGACTCGGGGTGTAGAGACTCTGGGTGTAGAGACTCGGGGTGTAGAGACTCATGGTGTAGAGACTCTGGGTGTAGAGACTCTGGGTGTAGAGACTCGGGGTGTAGAGACTCATGGTGTAGAGACTCGGGGTGTAGAGACTCATGGTGTAGAGACTCGGGGTGTAGAGACTCTGGGTGTAGAGACTCGGGGTGTAGAGACTCAGGGTGTAGAGACTCAGGGTGTAGAGACTCAGGGTCTAGAGACTCGGGGTGTAGAGACTCGGGGTGTAGAGACTCGGGGTGTAGAGACTCAGGGTGTAGAGACTCAGGGTGTAGAGACTCAGGGTGTAGAGACTCAGGGTGTAGAGACTCAGGGTCTAGAGACTCGGGGTGTAGAGACTCAGGGTGTAGAGACTTGGGGTCTGGAGACTCAGGGTGTAGAGACTCAGGGTGTAGAGACTCAGGGTGTTGAGACTCAGGGTGTAGAGACTCAGGGTGTAGAGACTCAGGGTGTTGAGACTCAGGGTGTAGAGACTTGGGGTCTGGAGACTCAGGGTGTAGAGACTCAGGGTGTAGAGACTCAGGGTGTAGAGACTCGGGGTGTAGAGAGCCAGGGATGGTGAAGTAGTCATGACGATGATATCGTGAAGATGTAGCAATCATGGTGGTGGTGATGATGTAGTGATGGTGGCGGTGGTGATGATGTAGTGATGGTGGCGGTGGTGATGATGTAGTGATGGTGGCGGTGGTGATGATGTAGTGATGGTGGTGGTGGTGATGATGTAGTGATGGTGGTGGTGGTGATGATGTAGTGATGGTGGCGGTGGTAATGATGTAATGATCGTGGTGGTGGTGGTGATGATGTAGTGATGGTGGCGGTGGTAATGATGTAGTGATGGTGGCCGTGGTAATGATGTAGTGATGGTGGCGGTGGTGATAATGTAGTGATGGTGGTGGTGTTGATGATTTAGTGATGGTGGCGGTGGTGATGATGTAGTGGTGGTGGTGATGATGTAGTGATGGTGGCGGTGGTGATGATGTAGTGATGGTGGCGGTGGTAATGATGTAGTGATGGTGGTAGTGGTGATAATGTAGTGATGGTGGCGGTAATGATGATGTAGTGATAGTGGTGGCGGTGGTGATGATGTAGTGATGGTGGTGATGATGTAGTGATGGTGGTGGTGATGATGTAGTGGTGGTGGTGGTGGTGATGATGTAGTGATGGTGGTGGTGGTGATGATGTAATGATAGTGGTGGTGGTGATGATGTAGTGATGGTGGCGGTGGTGATGATGTAGTGATGGTGATGGTGGTGATGATGTAGTGATGGTGGTAGTGGTGATGATGTAGTGATGGTGGTGGTGGTGATGTAATGATGGTGGCGGTGGTAATGATGTAGTGATGGTGGTAGTGGTGATAATGTAGTGATGGTGGCGGTAATGATGATGTAGTGATAGTGGTGGCGGTGGTGATGATGTAGTGATGGTGGTGATGATGTAGTGATGGTGGTGGTGATGATGTAGTAGTGGCGGTGGTGATGATGTAGTGATGGTGGCGGTCGTGATAATGTAGTTTGGTGGTGGTGGTGGTGATGTAATGATGGTGGCGGTGGTGATGATGTAATGATGGTGGCGGTGGTGATGATGTAATGATGGTGGCGGTGGTGATGATGTAGTGATGGTGGCGATGGTGATAATGTAGTGTTGGTGGTGATAATGTAGTGATGGTGGTGGTGATGATCTAGTGATGGTGGCAGTGGTAATGATGTAATGATGGTGGTGGCGGTGGTGATGATGTAGTGATGGTGGCGATGGTGATAATGTAGTGATGGTGATGATGTAGTGATGGTGGTGGCGGTGACGATGTATTGATGGTGGTGGTGATGTAGTGATGGTGGTGGTGATGATGTAGTGATGGTGGTGGTGATGTAGTGATGGTGGCGGTAGTGATAATGTAGTGATGGTGGCGGTCGTGATAATGTAGTGATGGTGGCGATGGTGATAATGTAGTGATGGTGGCGGTGGTGATGATGTAGTGATGGTGGCGATGGTGATAATGTAGTGTTGGTGGTGATAATGTAGTGATGGTGGTGGTGGTGATGATGTAGTGATGGTGGCGGTGGTGATAATGTAGTGATGGTGGTGGTGGTAATGATGTAGTGATGATGGTGGTGGTAATGATGTAGTGATGGTGGTGATGATGATGTAGTGGTGGTGGTGGTGGTGATGATGTAGTGATGGTGGCGTTGGTGATAATGTAGTGATGGTGGCAGGGGTAATGATGTAGTGATAGTGGCGGTGGTGATAATGTAGTGATGGTGGCAGGGGTAATGATGTAGTGATGGTGGTAGTGGTGATAATGTAGTGATGGTGGCAGGGGTAATGATGTAGTGATAGTGGCGGTGGTGATGATGTAGTGATGGTGGTGATGATGTAGTGGTGGTGGCGGTGGTGATGATGTAGTGATGGTGGCCGTGGTAATGATGTAATGATGGTGGTGACGGTGGTGATGATGTAGTGATGGTGGCGGTGGTGATGATGTAGTGATGGTGGCAGGGGTAATGATGTAGTGATAGTGGCGGTGGTGATGATGTAGTGATGGTGGTGATGATGTAGTGGTGGTGGCGGTGGTGATGATGTAGTGATGGTGGCCGTGGTAATGATGTAATGATGGTGGTGACGGTGGTGATGATGTAGTGATGGTGGCGGTGGTGATGATGTAGTGATGGTGGTGGTGGTGATGATGTAGTGATGGTGGTGGTGGCAGCGGTGACGATGTAGTGATGGTGGTGATGGTGATAATGTAGTGATGGTGGTGATAATGTAGTGATGGTGGTGGTGGTGATGATGTAGTGATGGTGGCGGTGGTGACGATGTCGTGATGGTGGTGGTGGTGATGATGTAGTGATGGTGGTGATGATGTAGTGATGATAGTGGTGGCGGTGGTGATGATGTAGTGATGGTGGTGATGATGTAGTGATGATAGTGGTGGCGGTGGTGATGATGTAGTGATGGTGGTGATGATGTAGTGATGATAGTGGTGGCGGTGGTGATGATGTCGTGATGGTGGTGGTGGTGATGTAATGATTGTGATGGTGGTGGTGGTGATGATGTAATGATGATCGTGATGGCGGCGGTGATGATGTAGTGATGGTGGTGGTGATGATGTAGTGATGGTGGTGGTGGTGATGATGTAGTGATGGTGGTGGTGGTGATGATGTAGTGATGGTGGTGGTGGTGATAATGTAGTGATGGTGGTGATGATGTAGTGATGGTGGTGGTGGTGATGTAATGATCGTGGTGGTGGTGGTGGTGGTGATGATGTAGTGATGGTGGTGGTGGTGATGTAATGATCGTGGTGGTGGTGGTGGTGATGATGTAGTGATGGTGGTGGTGGTGATGTAATGATCGTGGTGGTGGTGGTGGTGATGATGTAGTGATGGTGGTGATGGTGTAGTGATGGTGGCGGTGGTGACGATATGACGACCAACCACGGCGGCGGCGGCGATGATGACGATGTTGCGACGACGACGATGACGACGTTGTTGTTGTTGTCACGGCGATGGCGACAGCGCGGTAGTGACGATGTGGCGACGGCGTGCAGGTGAAGGTGACCCTGCAGGGCACCGCGGTGGATCCGGCCCTGGGGGGTGCGGCCGTGGCGTCCGGCTCCTTCTCCCTGCACGCCGCCGTCTTCGCCGCGAGGCCGGACGCTCGCTGCGTCGTCACCGTCTGCACGCCGGCCACGGCCACCGTGAGTGGCACCGGCACCGGCACCGGCACCGGCACCGGCACCGGCGGCACCGGCGGTTTGACGTTGCCGATGAAGCTCGCCGCAAACATTTTACCGTGGCTGCGCATGCTTAGCTCTTTCGGTAAAGTCACCACGTTGGAGGGAAACGATGAAATGATAAAATATATATAAAACAATAAAATTATTATTCTTGGTTCTTTCGGTAAAGTCACCACGTAGAAGGGAAACAATAAAATAATAAAAATATAAAACAATAAAATTATTATTCTTGGTTCTTTCGGTAAAGTCACCACCACGTAGAAGGGAAACAATAAAGTAATAAAAATATAAAACAATAAAATTATTGTAAAACAATAAAATTATTATTCTTGGTTCTTTCGGTAAAGTCACCACCACGTAGAAGGGAAACAATAAAATAATAAAAATATAAAGCAATACAATTATTATTCTTGGTTCTTTGGGTAAAATCACCACCACGTAGAAGGGAAACAATAAAATAATAAAAATATAAAACAATAAAATTATTGTAAAACAATAAAATTATTATTCTTGGTTCTTTCGGTAAAGTCACCACCTCGTAGAAGGGAAACAATAAAATAATAAAAATATAAAACAATAAAATTATTGTAAAACAATAAAATTATTATTCTTGGTTCTTTTGGTAAAGTCACCACCACGTAGAAGGGAAGCAATAAAATAATAAAAATATAAAACAATAAAATTATTGTAAAACATTAAAATTATTATTCTTGGTTCTTTCGGTAAAGTCACCACCACGTAGAAGGGAAACAATAAAATAATAAAAAATATAAAACAATAAAATTATTATTCTTGGTTCTTTCGGTAAAGTCACCACCACGTAGAAGGGAAACAATAAAATAATAAAAAATATAAAACAATAAAATTATTATTCTTGGTTATTTCGGTAAAGTCACCACCACGTAGAAGGGAAACAATAAAATATTAAAAATATAAAAAATAAAATTATTATTCTTGGTTCTTTCGGTAAAGTCACCACCACGTAGAAGGGAAACAATAAAAATATAAAACAATAAAATTATTATTCTTGGTTCTGTCGGTAAAGTCACCACTACGTAGAAGGGAAACAATAAAATAATAAAAATATAAAACAATAAAATTATTATTCTTGGTTCTTTCGGTAAAGTCACCACCACGTAGAAGGGAAACAATAAAATAATAAAAATATAAAACAATAAAATTATTGTAAAGCAATAAAATTATTATTCTTGGTTCTTTCGGTAAAGTCACCACCACGTAGAAGGGAAACAATAAAGTAATAAAAATATAAAACAATAAAATTATTGTAAAACAATAAAATTATTATTCTTGGTTCTTTCGGTAAAGTCACCACCACGTAGAAGGGAAACAATAAAATAATAAAAATATAAAGCAATACAATTATTATTCTTGGTTCTTTGGGTAAAATCACCACCACGTAGAAGGGAAACAATAAAATAATAAAAATATAAAACAATAAAATTATTGTAAAACAATAAAATTATTATTCTTGGTTCTTTCGGTAAAGTCACCACCACGTAGAAGGGAAACAATAAAATAATAAAAATATAAAACAATAAAATTATTGTAAAACAATAAAATTATTATTCTTGGTTCTTTTGGTAAAGTCACCACCACGTAGAAGGGAAGCAATAAAATAATAAAAATATAAAACAATAAAATTATTGTAAAACATTAAAATTATTATTCTTGGTTCTTTCGGTAAAGTCACCACCACGTAGAAGGGAAACAATAAAATAATAAAAAATATAAAACAATAAAATTATTATTCTTGGTTATTTCGGTAAAGTCACCACCACGTAGAAGGGAAACAATAAAATATTAAAAATATAAAAATAAAATTATTATTCTTGGTTCTTTCGGTAAAGTCACCACCACGTAGAAGGGAAACAATAAAAATATAAAACAATAAAATTATTATTCTTGGTTCTGTCGGTAAAGTCACCACTACGTAGAAGGGAAACAATAAAATAATAAAAATATAAAACAATAAAATTATTATTCTTGGTTCTTTCGGTAAAGTCACCACCACGTAGAAGGGAAACAATAAAATAATAAAAATATAAAACAATAAAATTATTGTAAAGCAATAAAATTATTATTCTTGGTTCTTTCGGTAAAGTCACCACCACGTAGAAGGGAAGCAATAAAAAATAATAAAAATATAAAACAATAAAATTATTATTCTTGGTTCTTTGGGTAAAGTCACCACCACGTAGAAGGAAAACAATGAAATAATAAAAATGTAAAACAATACAATTATTATTCTTGGTTCTGTCGGTAAAGTCACCATCACGTAGAAGGGAAACAATAAAATAATAAAAATATAAAACAATTAAAATTATTGTAAAACAATAAAATTATTATTCTTGGTTATTTCGGTTAAAGTCACCACCACGTGGAAGGGAAACAATAAAATAATAAAAAATATAAAACAATAAAATTATTGTAAAACAATAAAATTATCATTCTTGGTTCTTTCGGTAAAGTCACCACCACGTAGAAGGGAAACAATAAAATAATAAAAAATATAAAACAATAAAATTATTGTAAAACAATAAAATTATCATTCTTGGTTATTTCGGTAAAGTCACCACCACGTAGAAGGGAAACAATAAAATAATAAAAATATAAAACAATAAAATTATTGTAAAACAATGAAATTATTATTCTTGGTTCTTTCGGTAAAGTCACCACCACGTAGAAGGGAAACAATAAAATAATAAAAATATAAAACAATAAAATAATAAAAATATAAAACAATAAAATTATTATTCTTGGTTCTTTCGGTTAAAGTCACCACCACGTAGAAGGGAAACAATAAAATAATAAAAATATAAAACAATACAATTATTATTCTTGGTTCTTTCAGTAAAGTCACCACCACGTAGAAGGGAAACAATAAAATAATAAAAATATAAAACAATAAAATTATTATTATGATCTTAGTTCTTTCGGTAAAGTCACGTTGAAGGGAAACAACAAAATAATAAAATATATATGAAGAAACATTTGAAAGAAGTGGCGGTGATTTATTCATTTTTAAAACGGTGTTTTTATTTATTTATAATTTTAAAAAAACGTCAGCGCCACGCGCGGCGATTTGGCATTTTGTTTAGAAGGACGAGTCCATCTATGTTCTGAGAAGAGGAGGGGGGGAGACGAGAAATTTAATGCATGCTGTCTGAAAGCCACCGTAAGCGTGAACATTCAATTAAGACCTGAAATGGTTTATCAGATCCTTCCAATGATTGCTAAGCCAGAATCCATCTTCTCGGTTGAAATTGTCTCTGTGCTTGACTCTCACCACCACCACCACCACTCTCTGTGTCACCACAAACATTACCGTGACTCTCACCACCACCACGCTCTGAGTCACCACAAACATTACCGTGACTCTCACCACCACCACCACCACCCTCTGTGTCACCACAAACATTACCGTGACTCTCACCACCACCACCGCCACCCTCTGAGTCACCACAAACATTACCGTGACTCTCACCACCACCACCACCACTCTCTGTGTCACCACAAACATTACCGTGACTCTCACCACCACCACCGCCACGCTCTGAGTCACCACAAACATTACCGTGACTCTCACCACCACCACCACCACCCTCTGTGTCACCACAAACATTACCGTGACTCTCACCACCACCACCACCACTCTCTGTGTCACCACAAACATTACTGTGACTCTCACCACCACCACCACGCTCTGAGTCACCACAAACATTACCGTGACTCTCACCACCACCGCTCTCTGTGTCACCACAAACATTACCGTGACTCTCACCACCACCACCACCTCCCTCTGTGTCACCACAAACATTACCGTGACTCTCACCACCACCACCACGCTCTGTGTCACCACAAACATTACCGTGACTCTCACCACCACCACCACCTCCTCCCTCTGTGTCACCACAAACATTACCGTGACTCTCACCACCACCACCACTCTCTGTGTCACCACAAACATTACCGTGACTCTCACCACCACCACTCTCTGTGTCACCACAAACATTACCGTGACTCTCACCACCACCACCACCACCACTCTCTGTGTCACCACAAACATTACCGTGACTCTCACCACCACCCTCTGTGTCACCACAAACATTACCGTGACTCTCACCACCACCACCACTCTCTGTGTCACCACAAACATTACCGTGACTCTCACCACCACCACTCTCTGTGTCACCACAAACATTACCGTGACTCTCACCACCACCACTGCTCTCTGTGTCACCACAAACATTACCGTGACTCTCACCACCACCACTCTCTGAGTCACCACAAACATTACCGTGACTCTCACCACCACCACCACCACTCTCTGTGTCACCACAAACATTACCGTGACTCTCACCACCACCACCACCCTCTGTGTCACCACAAACATTACCGTGACTCTCACCACCACCACCACCCTCTGAGTCACCACAAACATTACCGTGACTCTCACCACCACCACCACCACCACTCTCTGTGTCACCACAAACATTACCGTGACTCTCACCACCACCACCACCACCGCTCTCTGTGTCACCACAAACATTACCGTGACTCTCACCACCACCACCACCACCGCTCTCTGTGTCACCACAAACATTACCGTGACTCTCACCACCACTCTCTGTGTCACCACAAACATTACCGTGACTCTCACCATCACTCTCTGTGTCACCACAAACATTACCGTGACTCTCACCACCACCACCACCACTCTCTGTGTCACCACAAACATTACCGTGACTCTCACCACCACCACCACCACCCTCTGTGTCACCACAAACATTACCGTGACTCACCACCACCACCACCACGCTCTGAGTCACCACAAACATTACCGTGACTCTCACCACCACCACCACCACCACCCTCTGTGTCACCACAAACATTACCGTGACTCACCACCACCACCACCACGCTCTGAGTCACCACAAACATTACCGTGACTCTCACCACCACCGCTCTCTGTGTCACCACAAACATTACCGTGACTCTCACCACCACCACCCTCTGTGTCACCACAAACATTACCGTGACTCTCACCACCACCCTCTGTGTCACCACAAACATTACCGTGACTCTCACCACCACCCTCTGTGTCACCACAAACATTACCGTGACTCTCACCACCACCACCACCACCACGCTCTGAGTCACCACAAACATTACCGTGACTCTCACCACCACCCTCTGTGTCACCACAAACATTACCGTGACTCTCACCACCACCCTCTGTGTCACCACAAACATTGCCATGACTCTCACCACCACCACCACCACGCTCTGAGTCACCACAAACATTACCGTGACTCTCACCACCACCACCACCACTCTCTGTGTCACCACAAACATTACCGTGACTCTCACCACCACCACCACTCTCTGTGTCACCACAAACATTACCGTGACTCTCACCACCACCACCACCCTCTGTGTCACCACAAACATTACCGTGACTCTCACCACCACCACCACCCTCTGAGTCACCACAAACATTACCGTGACTCTCACCACCACCACCACCACCACTCTCTGTGTCACCACAAATATTACCGTGACTCTCACCACCACCACCACCACCGCTCTCTGTGTCACCACAAACATTACCGTGACTCTCACCACCACCACCACCACCGCTCTCTGTGTCACCACAAACATTACCGTGACTCTCACCACCACTCTCTGTGTCACCACAAACATTACCGTGACTCTCACCATCACTCTCTGTGTCACCACAAACATTACCGTGACTCTCACCACCACCACCACCACCCTCTGTGTCACCACAAACATTACCGTGACTCTCACCACCACCACCACTCTCTGAGTCACCACAAACATTACCGTGACTCACCACCACCACCGCTCTC